GCGCTGACTGAACAGTCTGGAATAAAAATTACTGAAAACTAGGAGATGAGTTTAAGACGTAGAAGGTAAGTCAACTAATCAATTCAGAAAACGAGAAATGAAAAAAGCGACAAGAAATGTGCTTGAACAGATGCTACGGACTTGAAACGGTGGCAGAAGCATCCTGGTGTGAATATCTGGTAGGTTAACATCTATGTCGATGTTTGAGCAGTCGAAACGTTTGAAATTTCGAAGCGCTTCTTTAATATACTAACGGTATGGTAACCTGAAAGTTAATATGAATATTAATCGTGTTTAAATGCACCACCCGTGCCAGTGACTAATTTTAAAGTATTTTCGTGTAAATTTTACCTTTTCGAAATGGCATACGATGCGGCAGCAAAATTTAATAATCACTCCGTTCATTTATGACATCATGAACGTCCTTCAACGCAGGAATATTGACAAAAAACAGGCACAAGGATTTTCTTCAAGGATCGAATCCAATCCTCTTAATGCAGCCTCGACGTTTTGCCCTTTTCAATTCATTGCTAAGTCTGATTTATTTTCTCTATTACTGAATGACAATGATGCCTTGACAAACAGAATTTGGAAGGTTTGTTCTCTTTATTGACAGTAAATGTTCTATATGCAAAACAAGATATGACAATCACATGTTGACCGGATTTGTTTCATGAACTTGATACATGCATAAATAAAATAGTCTAGCAGAATCACTGAATTTTTTCATCTTAATATGGTACTCCCATTATCCCACCTTCAATTGGCATCGGTCCCAGTACTTCACCTTCAACTCCCATTGGTACCATCATTCCACCTCCCAGTGCCATTGGATCAATTATTCCGCCTCCCATCACTGGATCAATCTGTCGCACGTCTCGTTGCAAATACGCCGTTGGAGTCGCTTAAAAGCAGTAGGTGTAGTGCAATAAAACTAGCTACTAAGTAAGTTTCATACCTTTAACGGAACAGCCTCCTGCTAGCAGTAGAAATGCAATGAAATACAGCGACAACATTTTTCTGACCTTCTAAACACAATATGTAACCTCCTTAACCGAAACTGATCAGAAGGTCGCCACTTTATATAAATATATAGAGCACCATGACATAAAAGCATTGCAAGTTTTTAGACAGTCATCCGTCACCGTTTACTAAGTCGGACGTCAATCTGATTTCAGGACAGTACGTTATTTCTAATCTCTGAAATGCGATCAACCTCATTTTGTGATCCGCTATAAATCACCATAATATAAGCGTAAACATCATGAGCTTGACATTACATGACCGCCATTTACGGTTCATGCGTAGAAGAATACGTGTTTCTTCTCACAGACAGCAGACAGAAACGCAATTCGACTCCAGAAGCATTGGCACCAAGAAAAAGATGTCTGGAGAAAGGCAAGGGATGTATTTATATCTGTAAACTGTTGTCACCGAGATATCATGAATAGCGACTTTCACAGCAACAGCGGCATTTGGAATAAGTTGTCTTGTTCAAAATTGAGTCAAGGTCAAAACGCAATATTCCATTAGGAGTACAACTGCCTAGAGAGATCAGTCAGTCAGTTTATGCTCACAGATCGCAGAGACAGACGCGTCAGACAGTATCTCGAACGTTCCCGATTCTGTACAGCGAAGGAGCTTCAACCAAAGATAACCAGGCTTGGAGCGGAGCAAAGGCTATCGGTACACTTGCCCCTGGCAATTCTTGGTCATCTCCGGCTGTTCGATCGGTCAACTTGGTTTTGAGTCTCCAGTCTTCGCTGGACACAAGCCTTTGAAACACCTCGTCGCGTACCTTCGGTCGTTGTCTACGATTTGTCATCCGGAATGCCTTATGTTCGATCTTTGCGATATCAGATATACATGCATTAAAAGGTGTTAGACAAAATTATGAAACTGCTAAAATATTTGTATTTTATTTTGATTGGCAAAACCTGGTCATACATCAGTTTGGTTGGAGAGTTGGAAATCAGCCTTTCAAAATAGCTTGCTTGATTCTACATTAGCACCTTGTTCACTTGTCCTTTCCGTCCTAGGAAAATATTGTTTTTGAAAGTTCACCAGGGCATCAGGTGCCATAAACAAATTACAAGAAGATGTATGAAAATCAATATTACGTCGAACTGCTTGCTCTTGCAAAGTCTACATAAACCAAATGCTTCAGATTGGCTTTTTGGAACTTTCTTTTGCTGCGCACGGCCTGTGTCCATCAGTTTTAATTAACAAAGGACTAGTTCAACGTTGCTTCGATGCAACTAACTATGAAACTGATGGTAAGTTGCTGACCTGCGAACAACAGAGGCAGAGTGGTGATCTGATGTTTATACCTTAATGGTCGTGGTGTACGGTCAGACTGTCGGACGCCAGAGTGCGTGTGGTTACACTTCATTGAGACCGATCTGACGTGAAAATCAGTACAGTTTGTAACCCCAAATTAAGGGGACATTCGCATTAATGTTGCTTTAAGCATGAATATGAACCGTCATCGTTTAAGCACGGTTGTTTTATAAGCCGTGGTGGCAAATAATTTGTCTTCTGGCCACTGCTGCATTCCGTTGCAATATAAGCGTTTTCTGCTCGAATAAATCGATTCCAACGAAAGATGTACATACCATTGCTTTAAAGTTTAATGCTCTTGACAGTGATATCTAGTTTACTAATGTATATGCTGGTAGTGTCTGCCTTCGCTCGTCGTTACATTGACAAAAGTAGTGTCCATTATGACTGAAACAATAAATAACGGAAAAATTGCTACTTATTTTGGTGCCTGCAGCAAAAGGTCATTCAATTTGACACAGTCAGTTATGAAAGAATTGGTGAACTTGGCTGAAAACTGCTATTAGTTATTTCTTTCCAGTATGAATTTTCTGCAAACGTTTGTGAAATTGCCACTATTCTGAACTCTTACAAAAGTTTCAGAGGAAACTGCCTAAAGGAATGGCAGGTATATAATACATGAAAGCAATGCCGTAATAAATTTGAACAAAATGAAGTTGAAATGCTTGGGAAAAGCTGCATAACTTGATATTTGTGTGCATTTTCACATTACAAATAATGACACCGGAATGAAACGGCGATAATGCACAATATAAAGAAAGAAAAATCAGGACATCTGAACTTGGTATCTTCAGCCGCGGTATTGAAAGCTCCTCTAGAACACCAAGGTAGGTATATTATGTCATTCGTTCGCCCACCAGTCGTGGTAATCTCTATTGAGCCTACATTGGTTAAACTCTAGTTTGAGACACGGTCCTGTGTACAACACGTGTTTAAATAACATGGATCCATGGTTTGATTAAACAGTCCCCCTAGGCACCTGAAAGCAATGCGGAGATGCAATGGAGCTGTTGGTGTAAAGTGCGAAGTAGATATTTTTTCTTAAACACATAAGTTCTCGTTTCAATCCGGCATAATTACTTATAATGCTTTTTATGTCGTTTCGTTCACCTGCAGAACAGCGTTGGAAAACAAAATCGGATAAAATCGAATTTTGTATCTGAACTGACATAAGCGTTTCGTTCCAACTGCAAAGTGTCGATGATTTGAAAATGAGTATAGAACGATAGGCAACCTACAGAAAAGTTCTGTTGTTCAAAGTCACTGAGCCCTTGCTGGACGAACTTCTGCATCAACAAGTCGAAATGCCTGGTGGAATTTATCGCGTTCAAGATACCACTTACAGTATATCTCTCTCTTTACCTGCAGGCCACTTCAGTTCAGATCGAATAATGTATCATCAGCAGAAGTTAATTATGCGAAGAACTTCGCCTTGTGACGGCGCTTGAATACTGCTATTAGATTTAATGACAAATTATAGCCGGTTAATGAATAGTCAACCAGTCGGCCAGTTACAGTGGCCTCTTATTATTTCGGGTCAATGAGACAGACGCGTCAGATTTTCTCCAGCGTTCCCGATCTCTCATGCAGGCGTTGAAGCTTCGGCAGAAAATAATCTCAGCCTAGAGCAGGGTTTGTTGAGAATTATGTCATTTTTAGCCGTCCCCCGATTCTTCGATCGGTTGGTTCGGCAAGCGGTAATTGTTTCGCCTTCCCTTCTGGAATTATTCGCAAGACGCAACATAACCATCGCACTTGTGGTTTCTCCGTCTTAAAAAGTTTACATTTACAGCATGCAGCAAACTCTGTTCGTATATATTTACTTCAAGATTGACGGATAGTCTCTAATTCATGATTTTCTCAACAGTTGAGTAAACTAAAAGCGAGCAACGGCTAAGACGAAGAATCAACTGTTAGAACAGAAGCACTGAAAATTGTCTGTTTTTCAGCTGCTCCTGTAGATGGGATAGTCTGGTACGGTACGAATGAGGCGGAAGAGTTGCATACATCAGACCAGAGAGGCAAGGAGCAGGCGGTTTCCTGTCGGTCATTAAAACACAACTGCAGACTACGCAAATTAACTGCCCTTAATGTTTGTTAGCTGAATGACATGGATCGATAATTACATTACCATGTGGCGAAAATCAATGTTTCAGTAGGTTTTTGACATTCCAAAAGAGGTAGAAAAGAGCTATCTTGGCGTTGCAATTGATTCTTTCTAATCGTATGACATCTGAGAATGACAGACTGAGTGAAAGAAAGGAGAAGGCGTTGTCCACTGTGCACTTGTACACTCTGCCAGCTCACTTAATCTTCGAGTACGGCGACCTTTTGACTTGCGAAACAGTCGAGATGATAAAGACTATAAGTGTGTCAACTGTTGCGTTTCGACATTCAAATGTTTCTTATAGATGACGAAGCAATTAGGAAAAAGCGACCTTAGCCGTCGAAGCTGATTCGACACCTGAGGCCTTTCATTAGACGGGCAGCATCTTTGGCTGACACTTGGTTTGCAAACTGGCCACGATCAGGAAAAAACCGTCGAATCCTTGAGGCTGATCACTTGTTGACAGCAGCGAGCACTACAAGAAAGACCATCTGCAATTACCGATATATTTTACCATTGCTCATATACATATATTTAATAAAATAAAGCCTTTAGTTACGTCACTGCAGTGAAGGACCACGGCGGTGAAGGTCGCTATCTCTGGATTGTGATATTGTGTCAGCCTTACATTGCGACAAATAATCGAAACACTGAAGAACGGACCACAGTCATAGGAGACATGCGCAGAAGGAATGTGTGCATGCATAATGTCCTCTTGTGTTCGAACAGTTCGCAGTATCATGCTCTTTATATCGTTATACTTTCTGGTCTTGGGGGGCAGTGGGTTTAATAAAGGTAATTAGGAATGATCATTTCATGATTTAAAGCAGAAAATCCTGTTGTCGAATTTTTAAACTTGTAGGGAGCAGAAAAAATTTTTTTCAAAAAGATTAAGACTGATTTATTGATTCACTGATGACATATAACCATGTTCTTCAAGCTGATATGGACGGTGTTAAGAATTTCGCCCAAAAGAGGCTTGTGGTCAGTGCCAAATTTCTTTTCGACTGATCACTTACATGAACTTTGAAACCTCTCCACCATAATTTCCATAGCACCATAAGTCGATAAGTCATTACACGTATCTCAAGACTCTGCAGTAAACATAACACACTAAAACTGTTATCTTAGATAGCCATCCTTACTTGTAATACGATGAGTACGATTTGACGGATCGAGTTCTGAACTCGTTGTTGCAAGTGAAATTGAATTTCTCGGTTTATTTGTTTAAAAAATCTTATGCAAAAGGCACTTTGACTACATGGACGGAAGTTTAAAGTATTTATTCATATTTACTATGAAATGCTTGATAAGATTGTCGATCTGTGCTGTTAACCCTAGGAACATATTATGAAGTATTCAAATGGCTGGGAATTCTAGAAGTTGAGCAAAAGCAGACTTCGCACATTTAAGATTCAAATGGCGTTTGTAAGAATGGTAAGCTCTTGCTTTCATCTAGAACTATTTTCATAAGCAGTATGGCGAGAAGCATTTGTCGGACACATGCAGGCGCACAGCAATCTGGCTCGTCTGTTGGCCTTCTGATCGATTTCTGGCTTTCTACGATTT